AACACATCAACCAGCATCGCATTCAGTGCATTCGTACAAAAAATTAAAAAGCTCATTTTACACACAGTAAGCAAAATTGAAAGCAAATGAAGAATAGAAAAGAGCACACACCCAAACGAAAAAACTTGAAACAATTGCTTAGCTATGAATTTCATCGTTCCTGGGGTATAACCCTTTCAAATTCCTTCTCCGAAATAAGTAGATTCTTTAGACTGTAAATGTCATTTTATTGTATTTCAAAGCCGTGGGAGTATTTTTACCCAGAGTAGCACAATACAAAAAGTCTTCCTTTGGAAGGATGAGCTTACACGCCCGGGGTACTAAACGCACCAGCTCAGCAGTACGTGTAACACGCCCGCGGCTCACTCTCCATTTGCCATCTTTAGTTACTGGTTGAGCAAGTGAGGGTCATTTCTATCTTTGCAAGAATAGAATCATTGATTAATAAATAGTTTAAGATTTTTTTATTGTTCATGGTAGCCAACGATTAATGGTATTTCAAAAAGGTAATATGAAAAACATCTAATATAACACACATTTAGTAAGCTTTTTACTCACACATAGTATCAAAAAAGGAATAAGAAACTTTTCAAGTAATCTGAAAAAAATATATGGATAATTTTTTTAGAAGTCTGACAGAGACCTTTGTTGTGGATGAATCTCAAGAGCATATGTATATTAAATAACTTCTATTCCAATAATCATTCTCTGATTTGCAGTAGAGTTGTAATGAATAAAAATCATTTTTGAAGCTTATAAAATAGGCGTTGTATTATTTATACAGTTGAAATGATTTTAATCAAAAACATTTTAGTTCGAAAATGTAATATATAAAAATTACCTTTCAGTGATTATAAAAATTTGAGTATCAAAATTTTAAATGGTACTTACGTATTATTGCTACAATCACCAGCGTTCAAGGTAACTCGACAAGTAAGTAATCCTGATTTCGCATGTGTTGTACGCGCTGAATGGGCAACCATGTGCTTCGCTTCATATAACGTTGCTATTACGGTTTCTATAATACGTAAGTACCATTAAAACATCCGCTTTTTTAATATTAAATTTATAAGCGAGTATTAAATTAAGTAAATATTTAAGATAACAGCACCGTTTTATCTTTCTTTACTTTATTTATTTTTTGTACAGAGTCAAAAATTGTTGCCAGTTACGACGAGACACATCTATTTTTAAACATCATTATTATAAAAAAATAAATAAAATATGCAAAATGACGTCTCTGTTTGGGATTCAGATGGGCAAAGACTGCAAGAAATATTCATTTAAATATATTTATGATCTCATATTAAGAAGATTTTGAGACTATATTTATTTTTTTTTGTAAATTACTTATTCCCCGTAGTTATTCCCAGGTAATAGTTGCAATCAAATAAAATAAATGCAATTACACTACTTCGTGAAACTATTTAAAAAGGAAATGTTTAATGGACAAAACGTACAAGCTTGTGAGTTTAAATAAATAAGTTATTTTTTCAAACTTTATTCTCATCGAAAACATTAATTCTTACATGCATAGTTAGGTCAAAACTTCTGAAATTATGTAACTAAAAACTTTCTAGAAAACTGCATTGTTTTCCCACAATTTTTCATGAAAAAAGTAATTTCTGTTTGAAAAAAAGAGTTTTCCAAAGATGTTCGTAAATGGATTGCATCAATAAAGAGAAACAAACCTGAATTAACTTTAGATTTTCTAATGATGATTTCATAACGGAAAATACACAATAGCCTTTTTAATTAATATAATGATTCTTGTCCCACAGTTTGATTCACATTTTACCAAATTAATTAATTACAGTTAAAAAAGTATGTTGTATGAGTGTTACAATTTGTATATACTATTTGTTCATTTTTTTTTGCATTCCATGCAGTATATAACCGAAATTAAAACAAGTATTATTTCCCTGAAGTTATTGGGTATAACAGTAGAACCATTTAAAAATCAGTAGAACAAGTCTAAAAAGTGGCAAAGATAAAATTCTTAGATTGCTTTTTAAAAAAAATCCACACAATCAGTTTTCCTCAGCTGGAGTCGAAGGAATTTTCCAGAGGAGCCATTCACCTAACATGGGAATGAACTTAGTTGTAGAAGAACCTTTAGAAGATTTCTGTCTGAAGTATCAGAAGAGGTTTGTAGCTGTCTGAAGAGATATCACTGTCAACGTCTCACTGCCACTTCCAATTTCCTATCAATTCGTCCAACAGACATTTTCGTGATAGAAGGTAACGGAAAATGTGCCTGAAAAATATTTTATAAATGATTTCTTAGAAAAAAACATGAAACTATTGAAAGAAAAATGACAGGAGACTCAAAATGAGTTGTTTAATTATTTTTTGTTATATCGTTAAGCAATTCCATTTTGTAGTTCTTTATATCAAATTTGATAGATACATTGAAATCCATAAGTAAACATTTTTGATAATTTGCATGAAGCTAAAAATTGATTATTTCAGGCTATCGAATTTCACGTATTTTAACGCAGGATTCTAATGCTGCATCAAAAAATCAAATAATTTTTTAAAAAAAAAAAATTTAGAATGTTTGCCCCCAAACAGCATTTTGTAAAGTTTTAAACATTTAATTTCGTATTAATTTTTTTAACACTTTTGTTCAGTGATTTTACTTTATATCATTTTTAAAGAGCACGAGGTCCTTCTGTACCCTTATACTGCTTTTAGAATTTCTTGATTTTTTTGAATTCATGGAGATTGTCTAGCATTGCATGACAATCCGGGGTTAGAAACAACAACTTTATACCATTGATATAGTGAAAAACTGTATAACTAATCACAAGTAATAAAATTATTCTCTCTCACAAGGTTTGTACAGTTTATAAAACATCAGTACTAATATTTCTATATATATATATATATATATATGTTATAGTAAGAGGCAGTATCATTTTCTATTTCTGCATTTATTTCACTTATACGACATTAAAACTTTTTTTTTTGAAAAAATTTGCTCTACATATATTTTAGATGTTGTGCTTTTACTTTTTTTCTACCATTAGAAATTAACCACGAAAAAGTAAGAGGAAAACAACTTAAATGTTTAAAAAGCTAATTTCGTCTGGTTGTGTGTGTGAGTAATACAAACTGCAAATTTGCAGTCTTGAATGAACTGAAAAATGGTAAAAATATATTGGAAACAACATTATTTCTGTATCTAAAACTTATTTCGTTAATATTTTTATAAAACAATCTGTTCGGTTACAGATAATTTTTCATTTAAGGTAAACTATGTTTCATTTCTTGAAAATAAAGGCAATTAAACTTGTTTTAAAACTAAGGATTTGTGTATTTTAATAATTTAAAATTCAATCTAATTCTTAAATATAGAAAATGTTTTACTGAAAGAAAATAAGCAAATTGAGGCTAAATATTACAAGAGAATAATTTTAATTCATATAAGATATAAATAAACTTTTGTGTGTTAGACCTAGAGAAAAATTTTAAACGCAACATATTAAAGATTGGTATTTTTATTTTTAGAAGAAATTAGCAGCTCATAAGTTCTCTGAACAAATACCAGTAAATAAAAAGTAATTATCAATTTTTTTTAGATTCGAATCAAATTATTTTCTTTTCAGGAAAACGTCTAACTACATTTCATTCTTTCAAGAAGTATTCTTAATTAGAATATCTCTTAAATTTCATCTTGTGTTTGTGAACTGAGCAATTTATTTCTTATAAATGTAATTATGAACAAATTACTTCAAATCATTATAAACATGATTTAATTGCTTCAATTAATTTTTAGTACTGCTTCCTATATGATTTCAAAGAACTTTGACTTTTTTAATTAATAATTATACATTTTTAAGTAAGAGCAGGCATGCATTTTTAATCTATGTTCATTAGATATCTTAATTAATATTTAACTATTATATAATTTGAAAAGAACCAAATATTAAGCTACAAATGAAAAAATAAGAATAAAGAAAAATAATATTTGTATACATTTGCCTAGATTTCGGTCATTTTTATGCATTTTTTTTTACCTTGACAATGGAAACTGTTGTATCATTTACTGAGACCCAAACATTTTGTAAGTGATAATAGCTCAAGAGAAAGAAGACTGATGTAGGTTGAACCCCTTTGCTTTTATATAAGAACTTCAACACAGTAAATTGCAATAATCACTATCATAAAATTTCATTTTTTCAGCTAACAACTTAGAACACAATTTTAAAAAACTTCATGCAAAAAACGAAAGAATTTGTGTTTGTATGAAAACAAAATAAAAAATAACTCGTGAATTTTTTAATAGCTTATTACCTGTTATATAAAAAGCAAACTTTAACTAGAATACCAAAGAATACTTTACATTTATTTTTGAATCAAACAAATAAAAATTTCTCGCATTTTTTACTTTGAGCAAGACATCTTACCGTGCAGTTCAAAAGAAAATGAACAAAAGAATGCCATACATGTGATTTTAGAAGAAAACATTTTCTTTCCTCCGTTCTTTATGAGCCGTATCTCACCATCGAAAAGAGATTTTTATGATAAAAAAAGAGTTTTATGATTCGACTATTTTTATAGTCATGTACGCTTAACGGTCTGTAAAATTTATTTGCATTGCTACATATGTGTAGTTTGTTCTATATTTCGTATGGAAATGGAATATTTTTTATTAAGAATGCTGAAAGATTTTGTCAGAAAATTACAGTGAAAACTAAAGTTACATTTTCCCACAAATTAACGAATTCCCTTTTTCAATTCCTACTATTAGTTCACACTTTTCCTACATATATATATATATATATATATCTTGTTCAAATCTTTCAATCGTTAACAAAATATTTTTACTTATCTACTCAAGTGCAAATAAATTTTTTTAAACTTTTGGTGGACACTTAAAGTTAATACAGTTTTTTTAAATATTAAATCATTATTTTTTTAACTGATGAATAAATAGTAAGAAAAACAAAAATAATAGTCCAACACCATATATGAAAATGAAAATCACTCGTTGTGTCCTTGTAGCCCAATGGAGAGTGCGTTGGACTTCTAATCCAAAGGTCGTGGGTTAGTATCCTACCGGGGATGGCCTAATTTCTGAGCATGTGATTTCTTTTTACCATACAATTTTATTGGAATAATTAAATTTAATTAATGAATAAATAGTGGCAGACACACACAAAAAATTAGTCCAACACCATATATAGAAAGGAAAATGGAAAATCGCTTTCCATTTTGTCACTTAATATTGTGATTCTCTCTGTTATATGTATATACATATTTATACTAAAACTTAACTCAAAACGTGACCTCCCTCGAGGGCCAAGGCCTACTACGCCCAACACGATATGCGCGACCTTGGACCGTGAGGTGCATGAGTAGAAGTTCCGGTCAGGTGGTCAGTCTGACGCGAAAACCTCCAGTGTTAAATTCCCAAGCAAGCTTGGTACTCCTTTTATCGATTCACTGAAGGGATCAAAGGCTTGCGCTGTCCGGGGTTTGAACCTTGGACCTGTAGTGTGGATGCGCGATGCACTAACCACTCAGCCACTGGGCTTCCGATACCGTTTTATATTAATTGTAACTATTTAATAAAAAGTAACTAAAATAAATTTTTTCTTTGTTGCCCTAAGTAATAATTGACTTAATTTTGTTTTTATTACTTGTTTAAAACATGTTTAATATAGTCAGATAAACAATGCGATATTTCAGCTTAACTTTCAAAGGGAGAGCCCGACTAAGGAAATTCATTTGGGGACGAGACTGTGTAACATTAGTACTGCTGTAGGGTATTCAAACCCCAAGGTAATTCCGCCGAATGACCAGTCAATTCCCAGAAAATAGAGTTCGAAATTCATACTTAGCTTATATACAAGTTATTTTCTCCCTTAAACAACCTCGCCATGGCATGATCGTCAACGTATCGGAGTACTTTGCAATGAACCAGGGTTCGAATCACACTAGTGACCGACTTCCTGTTTAATCTTTTTTTCTCGAATTTTTTTTTTTCAGAATTAAATAATTTTATTTTTTAAAAAAGACTCATTGATTTTTAAATGATATTTTTATTATTATAATAACTATTTTACTTTTTTAAAATACAAAACAATTAATAGTTATGATAATAATACTTAAAAATAAAAAGTAAAAATAAATTAAATAATAATAAATAAAGTTAAATAAAGATAAATAAAAAGTAAAAATAAATTAAATTACAATAAATAAAGTTAAATATATATAAATATAAGTAAAAAGGTAACTTTGCGTTACATAATTATTTTTACTAAGTACAAAAACCTGAGTGATAATTATTATAAAAACATTCAAAACAATTAATATTTTGACATGTAGCGCAGTTAATAAAAGGAGAATTACAGCAAGAACAATGTTTTTTAAGTAACAAGGTTATATTGTAAAAACAGGGGTAAAAATAGCAAAAAATTTTAAGCAATAGTATAGTAACCAAAATCCGTTATCCTACTGATTTCTCATTTTATTGGATCATTCTTTGTTTTTAAAAGAATTCGTTGTTCTTAAAAGAATAACACCTGCTCTTTAAAAACAGCTGCCTTTCTCTTGATCTAAATCGGTTTGTTAAAAGCGGAAGTAAAAATTTTCGGCTTTTTAGGTATAAGAAATAATTTTAAAAATACAATTAACTGTAGTTATACCATAAATTAGTAATTTTTGTGTTTTAAAGAAGTAAAATAGTTACTATAATTATATAGAATATCATTTGAAAATCAATGAGTCTTTTTTAAAAAATAAGATTTTTTAATTCTGAAAATAAGTAATGAAAAAAATTGGAGAGAAAAAATAAAAACAGGAAATTGGCCACTTGCGTAAATCGAACCCTGGTCCATTGCATAGTACTTCGATACCCTGACGATCATGCTACGGTGACGTTGTATCAGGGAGAAAATAACTTGTATATAAGCTAAGTATGAATTTCGAATGCTATTTTCTCGGAATTGACTGGTCATTCGGCAGAATTACATTGGGGTTTGAATACCCTATAGCAGTTTTACTGTTAGACAAAGTCTCGTCCCCAAATGAATTTTCTTAGTCGTTCCCTCCCCTTGTTAGAATGAAAGTTAGCTGAGAACCAATGTTTTTTTTAATGTGTTGTTTTCGCTTAGTACTATATTGAGATATATTTTACTATATTTTTATTTGCTACATTAAGTGTTGTAACTAATAAACAATATAACAATTTAATAATAATAATATAAACTGAAGAGCCGTTACAATGTGACTACCTGTTTAACATGAAGTAGAATCATCTACCGTTCTCAAAACTATTATAACCCAGTGAGTTATAGACTGGATAAGTTGGCGCGATATGTAATCTGAGGTATCTGTTATCAGGCTCTTACCCGCAAATTTAGATTCAATAGCATGGCAGCATTAGTTCGATTTTTCAGGTTGCACCACAAAGTTCGACTGGATTAATGGAAAATGAAATCGGACATCAAGACTTCAAATTCACCAGAATGTTTCTCGAACCCTGCCCTGACGATTCGGTCCTTATGACATGGTGCGAAATCTTGTTGATAAATGCCATCACCCACCCGCGATACTGTTGCCATGAAGGGGTGCGCCTAGTATGCAGTAATGTTGACATAGAGCTCATAAGTTACAACAGATCTCAGTTCGCTTCAGCGTGAGGATCAACCAAAAGGAAGAGACGTCTCTAAGACACTAATCATTTTATTTGGATTGTAAAGATGCAAACAACTAATGGGAGCGAGGTAGATCTAATGAATTATGATAACAATAGAAATTCTACTTATCAAGCATTTAAATAAATTGCAGACGCGTGGCTATTTTCTCTGTGGACTCAGACAATAAGGCCCCAAATTCTATAACAAGATGCGATGCAATTCAGAATACAATTCAAACTACCATCAACAAACATTATTGCTATCTTTCTTTCCGAATTCGATTTACTTAACTTCAAATAGTATTTCCCATTTGCATGAAACGCGGTTCCTTTACAAAAATAGCCATGATTCTCAAATAGAGACGTTTTTCTATTCGTTCAAGAACGGATAGAAAATATTTCTCCTCAAAGAGTAGTAGGGGATTCGTAAAAAACCGTTAAAACGTGAGGGATTGCTCTATGGGAATGATGCGATCTAACGTACCCACTCACATTCTTGGTGCATTTGGTGAAGTGTGCAGCCGGCAACTAGGGTATCCGCAAAAAATCGGTGTTTTTGAACTCGTCCATCAATGTAATTGTGTAAAATACGAGATAGATTATGAAACTTTTTGAAACTTTTCAGGTCCAATACCCATGTTATATGTTCCATTGTAAACGGTGACGGTAGGTATAGTCGGTGATGTTCTATCAACGCCTACAGAGGACGCCATTGACAGTTTGGACGTCGACTGAATAGGTCCATAAGCAAAAATTTATTCAGATTGCCCTGTATGCTTAGACCACTGCTGTACCTTCTGCTGATATCACGTTGTAATCATTCAACCATGGTAAACTAGGCATAATATTTTCCGCTCTCTTCAGGAATCAATTCGACGTGGACCATTCGACGTGGATGACAAACCACTAGCTGATGACTAGCTTTTTTAATTTAATCTGGGCATAATTTTTGAGATTTCATAATACATGCTTATGTTTAGGTACCATTTTTTTTTTAAAAAAAGTATGTCTTATAAACGAGTAAAATATTTTTTGCACTTATGTAAAACAATACACAAAATACTGTAAACCTATTTTTTTAGCAAAAATAATAAGACACACACAGTTTCCTTGAAAAAATTATAAAACTTTGTATTTTTTTGAAAATTTTGATGTTTTTCCCTTTTTTATACATAAAACTATGCAATACTTAGAATAAAAAATAGGTCCACTATAGTGACAGGCATCCTGCACATAGAAGTATACAGAATTTGAAAGATATAGTGCAATAGTTATTCTTAAAAGTGTACCTAAAAACAAAATATTACGTTTTGGAGAAAAAGTGAAAAAATGAAAAGTAGTAATGTTTTCACCTATCATACTATTGACTAATATTTTTCTGCATATTTTTATATACCTCATAATGATACTTTAAACATTCTCAAAAATTACAAAAGTAACTTTAAATTATTTATTTTTGTATTGTTATAGCTCTGAACTTGAGTATAATTTTATGAAATATATTTTCCTTCAGATGTCAATTTTTATAAAACAATTTCTTGAATATGCAAATATTTTACATACATATATAAAACAATGAACAAAATATGCTCAAATAGCTTTTTTGATGGAATTATTGTATAGTTTTTCTTTGAAAAAACCTTAAAACTATGAAAATCTCGAATGTTTTCCTTTTTTTTCATGTAAAACTGGTTTTCAAAATAATTAGACATAAAGAAGAAAAAAATGTAATTATTCAATTCCGGTAAAAAAATATATATGTATGGTTTACAATGTAAATCATTAACTTGTTTTATTAATTTATTAACGTATATAAACTTTACACACATAAAACACGAGAAACTATCTTTTAAAATGTGTCAAAGTAAGCGTGGTCGTTTGTTTACATTTTTAACAATTACTTTTTTCAAATTTTAAGGTTATTTTATCAACGAACTTATAAGTGTTATATATTTTTAAATTCAGAAAAATATGCACTATTTTTTGAAACTAAAAGTCAAACATCGATTTTTTGAATGTGTATGACGCCCTGGTTCAAAATGTTATGACTGTTTGTTGTATAAAAATGCATATAGTTTTATACAAGTAGATTAATCGCGTACGGATCATTCCTTAAAAACCTTTATTTTTTACATTTGTATGTAATGTCATTCTAAATGTCACCGCTGTGCATAAGTTAATCTTCCAGAAAAATTCTAAATTACATTTACAAAATTGTTAATGGTAGTTTTAATTTCTTTTTTTTAAAAAAAAATAACTTTTTTACTTTTCCCTTTTTTTTAAAGAAACAAGAGGAGAAAAGAAAAAGTCATAGTAGTCTGGTGTAAAATATAAAATATTGCAGACATGAATTTTAGCAAAATCAAGGGCGTGAAGGAGACTTATGAAGATTAATGACATGCAAATCGTGCTTAGATGTGTTTTT